ATATTATTCAGTGCTCAAGATAAATGTATTCTTAATCCCCTTCACCTATTTCACCTGCCCCCTTATCTTCCTCCCCTTGGGTAACCATCTGTTTGTTCTCTGTAGTTAAGAGTCTGTTTCTTGGTTTCTCTCTCTCTCTTTTTTCCCTTTGTTGGCTGTTTTCTTTTTTAAATTGTGCATATGAGTGAAGTCATATGGTATTTGCCTTTCTCTGACAGACTTAGTTTGCTTAGCATTATACTCTAGATCCATCCATATAGTAGCGAATGACAAGATTTCCTTCTTGTTTATGGCTGCATAATATTTCATTACATATATACTACCTCTTCTTTATTCATCAATCAGTGGACACTTGGGCTACTGCCATAGTTTGGCTATTGTAAATAATGCTGCTATAAATCTAGGAGGTACATGTGTCTCTTTAAATTAGTGTTTTTGTATTCTTTGAGTGAATACCCAGTAGTACCCTATCCAAAGGGTAGTTCTATTTTTTTTTTTTTTTTTTTTGAGGAACTTCATACATTTTCCAGAACGGCTGCACCATTTGCATTCCCACCAACAATGCACAGGGTTCCTTTTTATCCACATCTTCACCAACCCTTGTTGTTTCTTGTGCTTTTGATTTTAGCCATTCTGAGAGGTATGAGGTGATATCTCATTATGGTTCTTATTTGCATTTCCCTGACTCTGTGTGATGCTGAGTATCTTTTCACGTGTCTGTTGTTCATCTGTATGCATTTTGAAAAATGTCTGTTCTTGGGGTGCCTGGGTGGCGCAGTCGGTTAAGCGTCCGACTTCAGCCAGGTCACAATCTCGCGGTCCGTGAGTTCGAGCCCCGTGTCAGGCTCTGGGTTGATGGCTCAGAGCCTGGAGCCTGTTTCCGATTCTGTGTCTCCCTCTCTCTCTGCCCCTCCCCCGTTCATGCTCTGTCTCTCTCTGTCCCAAAAATAAATGAAACGTTGAAAAAAAATTTAAAAAAAAAAGAAAAATGTCTGTTCATGTTTTCTGCCTATTTTTTAATTGGATTATTCATTTTTGGGGTGTTGAATATTATAAATTCTTTATATATTTTGGATACTAACCTTTTATCAGATACATTGTTTGCAAATATCTTCTCCCATCCCATAGATTATCTTTTGGTTTTATTGGCTGTTTCTTTTGCTGTGCAGAAGCTTTTTGTTTTGACATAGTCCCAATAGTTGTTGTTTTTTTTCTCTCTCTTATTTCCCTTGCCTCAGGAGACATATCTAGAAAGATGCTGCTGTGGCCAACATCCCCAATATCTGAGAAACTGCCTGTCCTCTCTTCTAGGATTGTTCCACATATTGCAATTGGAATGTAAAATGGTGTAGACATTTTAGAATACAGTTTGACAGTTTCTTAATAACTTAAAAAAAACTTATCATATGACCCATAAACTTCACTCTTCTAGATTCCAGTGTCTACTGAAAATGAAACTTTTGTCCACCTAAGACTTAAATGTGAATATTTACAACTGCATTTTTCATAATAGCCAAAAACTACCAGTACTTAAAATATCCATCAAGTGGTGAATTCATAAATATATTATGATATATTCACATCATGGAATACCATGCAGCAATAAAAAAGAATGATTTGCTGACACATGCTATAACATGGATGAACTTCAAATCATTACGCTGAGTAAAAGAAGCCAGACACAGAAGACCACATATTGTGCGATTCTGTTTACATGAAATTTCCAGAAAAGGTAAAACTATAGAAAAAGGCAGTAGTTGCCTGGGCAGTAGCAGAGATTAACTGCAAACAGGCACAAAGGAAAATTATGGTGTGATGAAAATATTCTATAACTGGAGACTAATGATGGTTGCACAGCTGTTTACATGTACTAAACATGAATTTATGCACTTACAATACTTGCATATTCATGGTCTACAAATTATATCCCAATAAATCTGTTTTTAAAAATCAAAGACATTTTCAAAACAGAGCAACACTTCAACATTCAGAGTATTTGCAATACAACTTTAGGGGCACTTGGGTGGCTCAGTTCACTAAGCGACCGACTTCGGCTAGGGTCATGATCTCACAGTTCATGGGTTCGAGCCCCATGTCAGGCTCTGCATGGACAGTGTGGAGCCTGCATTGTAGTCTCTGTTTCCCTCGCTCTCTGCCCCTCCCCCACTCATGTTTTTTTTCTCTCTCTCTCTCTCTCAAAAATAAATAAACATTTAAAAAAATTGAAATACAGGGGCGCCTGGGTGGCTCAGTCGGTTAAGCGTCCGACTTCGGCTCAGGTCACGATCTCGCACTCCGTGAGTTCGAGCCCCGTGTCGGCTCTGGGCTGACGGCTCAGAGCCTGGAGTCTGCTTCCGATTCTGTGTCTCCCTCTCTCTCTGCCCCTCCCCCGTTCATGCTCTGTCTCTCTCTGTCTCAAAAATAAATAAACGTTAAAAAAAAAATTGAAATACAACTTTAATTCACCCTAGAGGTATAGGGCCTAGGTAGGCTTTGCTTTGAGGTGCCGTGTTAAAAATCTATTTTTTCACTCCCTTCTCTATAACGGGAATTGTGAACTCATAAGAACAACAAACAGATATAATGTTTCCCCTATTTTGACAATAAATAGTTGATTGAATATTAAAAATATCTGGGTAAAGCCAATGAATCAGGTATTTATTCTACATGGTATCACCATCTGTGATGTTAAAAGTGAATTACTTTTTTAAAAATAAAGTGACACAAGTTCATTGAGTCTGATAGGCAAAGTCTTAATATTTTCTTAAAAATTTTTTGTTCACATTATCTTAGAAGTATTTTAAAGTAATGATACATCTGAATAAAACGTGGAACTAAAATTCTTCCCATCATTTCACCAGAATAGCAATATTTTTTTCAATTTTAATTGTGGTGAAATATACCCAACATAAAATTTTCCATCTTAACCTTTTTTACATGTATAGTTCAGTGGCATCCAGTACATTCATATTATTATGCTATCATCACCATAGTCCATGCAAAGAACTTTTTCATTTTACAAAACTGAATCCCTGTGTCTTTTTATTTTTTTTTTAATTTTTTTTTTAATTTTTTTTTCAATGTTTATTTATTTTTGGGACAGAGAGAGACAGAGCATGAACGGGGGAGGGGCAGAGAGGGAGACACAGAATCGGAAACAGGCTCCAGGCTCTGAGCCATCAGAGCCCGACGCGGGGCTCGAACTCACTGACCGCGCGCGAGATCGTGACCTGGCTGAAGTCGGACGCTCAACCGACTGCGCCACCCAGGCGCCCCACCTGTGTCTTTTTAAAACGCTCTCTATTCCTACTTCCCCCAGCCCTTGGTGACCGCCGCTGTACTCTCTGCCTCTATGAATTTGGTTACACAGGGCACTGCATGTAAGTGGGATGATACAGTATTTGTCTTCTTGTGACTGGCTTATTTAACTTGGCATAATGCCCTCAAGGTTTCTCTATGTTGTATCACGAGTCAGAATTTTCTTCATTTTAAGGTATGTCTATACCACACCATATGTCTATCCAATTCATCTGCCAATGGACACCGGGTTGCTTCCACCTTGTGGCTATTATGAATAATACTGCCATTTACCATAGGTGAACAAATATTTCTTTGAGTCCTTGCTTTCAATTCTTTTGGGTATACCCCCAGAAGTGAAATTGCTGGTTCATATGGGAATTCTAATTTTTTGAAGCACCGTCATATTGTTTTCCAAAACAGCACCTTTCAATAATTCCATCATCAGTACACCAGGATTGGGGTTCCAGTTTCTCCACATCCTCTCCAACATTTGTTATTTCCTGTGTGTGTGTGTGTGTGTGTGTGTGTGTGTGTGTGGTAGTAACTACCCTAATAAATGTGACATATCTTTGAACACAGCATTCCCACCTAAGAAAATTTTTTTAAGTTTATTAATTTTTGAGAGACGGAGAGAGACAGAGCATGAGTGGCGGAAGGGTAGAGAGAGAAGGCGACTCAGAATGTGAAGCAGGCTCCAGGCTCTGAGCTGTCAGCACAGAGCCCAACGCAGGGCTAGGACTCATGAACTGTGAGATCATGACCTGAGGCAAAGTTGGACGCTTAACTGACTGAGCCACCCAGGCGCCCTGTATTCCCATTTTAATTTTAATATTACTCTACCTGATTTTGATACTAAATAGTTATCAAACTTAATCTAATAGAATATAACCAGAAGATTCAATTCTTCACATTCAAAATAATGTGTTAGGCTTATACTCTTTTCAACTATCCGCTTGGATTCTGCTATGCACCAACTTGTACACAGTATATTGGAGTAATACTTCAACTGGAAAAACCTTGAACTCCAAGTCAGATCAACCTGAAAGATTTTTTGAACCAAACTAAAATTAAACCCAAAAACTACTAAATATTTTAACCATGAGCTGCATCTTATCCCATATACCAATGAAGTCCAGGTCAGAAACAAATCCCCACAGCTCATGATTTAAAAAAAAAAAAAACTGAGTCATTTGAAAAGCCTTTTGAAATAAATAAGAACATATGTAATATTTCAGATCAAGTCTCTGAATACAAGCAATGTTGGCATTCAGCGTTCCTGCTGCAAACTTTCTCATATCCCGTCCCATTGAAGCAGAGCTACATAAACTAGTGTGTTTCCAGTTTTTCGCTGATTATGGAACATTTCCATTGAATACCAGGGATTCTCAGTAAACATTCATCTTCTCTGTCAGCTAGTTTCCCTGTATCATTTCAATTGATCTTTATCGCCTTCAGCAATAACTTCTCTCCTAAGTTTAATTTTGAGAGCTTCTGTTCTCTGCTTCTTGGTGCTCCGTGTCTTTAAAATGTCCACTTTTTTTTTCTTAACCAAATAAAAGTACTCGGTTTGAGGTAGCAGGCAACAGATTTGTACTGATTCATGTCAGTGCCGAGTGCCCTACCAACCTATGGTCCAACAGAAAGTTAGCAAACCAGCCGATACTGACGCTTGACTAACAGGTCTCTCTTTGGTGAACAAGGCAACCATGAACAGCAGACCCACTGTGGAGTCTCCTGGGAAAGTGTGAACATGACAGTGAACAGCTTACATCAAAGACATTTCAATTCTGCAACAAGCCTTTCTGCTTCGGGTAAGTGATATACACCCAAACAAAACATTAATCGGAAGACCCATTTCGTCTCCTTTGGGGAATTGGAGCTATAGGCAGAATAATCCTGCTAAGTGTGATTTTGAACATTAAAATGAGTTCCTTTTAGGAAATCTAGAGGCTGAGAGAAGCACCGTAAATTGAGTAGGGATTTCATGATAATAAAAAAAAAGTCTTGCTGCAAATAAACATGAACATTGTAAAATTTGAACTCTTTCTTTTAATTAGGCCCGGCCGCCGGGGGGGGGGGGCTATATTTGAGGCCATCTCTGTCTGACAGGTTGCCGTTAACATAAAATGGAGAATGGTTTACATTGTCTGCACAAGCACCCTTTGACCTGTTTGAGTGGAGAAGTGTGTGTATTCATTGTTTTTTCCTGATTTCCGATAATATGGAATTACAAAGGAGAGCTGACAATAGAGTCTGAGTGTGGGACATGGAAAGAGGGTAATATTTGCTTTCCTGGCATGTGGACAGGGCTAATGTTGTGGGAAGTTTCCACTTACTCTACACACCCGTTTTGGAACGTCAGCAGATGTGAGAGTATCCATGGAAGCCACCTAAAATTGCCAGATGATGATGCTTTGGTCTATGCATTCATCCTAATCTTTACCCTTGTAGAAAACAAGGAATTCAATTAAGCCTATATACCACCTTTATTTTTCTCTTCTACTTTTATTCCTGAACCCCAAAAACTTGATGCACAGCATAGGTCCCAAGATGGGAAGAGGCTGTAAAGATTTTGGTTAGTTGCAATGCTTTAGCCATATCCTTTCCTGAGTCTTACACAAAAGGTGACGAAAAGCAGATGGCATTTGGAGCAGCCACGTTTTTCCTGGGCCAAGTTAGAGAGGAGTCCTGTACCTGCTGAGGTTCTGACAACCCACGAAGAAGTTAAACCCTAAACCCAAGTTCATCTTCCTGCTTTGCAAAAGACGACTGTCTTATCACAAGTGATATTTAAAATGTTAACATTTGTGCTAAACTAGCACATAAAAAGTAGGCTTTCCTTAAAAAAAGATAAAATATTATTTTCTCACCTTTTTTGTAATTTGAAAATGAGCGAACATATTGTACTCTAAATCTTAAAACAGATACAAGTCTGAAGTGAATCAAAGAAAGAAGTAATAAATTGCCTCTGGAAATCCTATGTTCATAGAAACATAATAATAAGAGGTGTCTTATAAGACCATGAGTTATATCTCACAATGCTAATAAGAGTCATAAAAAGCAAACAAACGACCAAACAAGTCTTTATGGGGAGGTGAATCCTCCTTCTCAGTAATTATATCATCTTCCTTTATAAATACTTTTATAAAATAGGCTCTCCTTTCATCCCACAGCAGTATCCTTTACTGAGGATATACTTAAGCATCCTAGAGCCCTTCTCTTCTTACAACCAAACAAATAATCAAGAAACAAATTGTCTTTCTGTTTATTCGTTTTGTTGCAGAGAGGAGGAATTTCCTGGAAGAAAAGGAAAACAATCTCTTCACATTTTGCTCACTAAAGGGCAGTAGTGAGGCCCCTGCCTCGTGAATAACCTTCATTCTGAGTGTGCTGTAAATATTGAATAGATCGTAAAAGTCTGCACATATATATTAATATCATTGCATTCTTCATAATGAATCATTGCAGCATACTTTTTAAACTCGATCTTGTTTTTTATCTTTAACATAGTAGGAAATTGATTACAGAGGTCTATGGCATGACTTTTTCTTTACTGACCATCCAAATTTCTGAGAAATGCAAATTTTTAATTTTTTCTTTCACGAATTGCATGTAGATACAAAAAGTGATAATTCCTTTATATTTAGAGCTAGTCAAAGGCTCCTTGAAGATAGTGGCCAAGTTTAATTTTCATAGCTAAATATTTTCAGTGAGGATTTTTAAATAATTTAAAAGATAAACAGAAGATATAGTATGTTAATCAGATTTTAAAGAAACATAGAATAACCTGCATCTTTTAGGGGTTTTTAATGTTTATTTTTTCTTTAGTAATCTCTACACCCTACATGGGGCTCAAACTCACAACCCCAAGATCAAGGGTCCCTTGCTTTTCCAACTCGGCCAACCAGGTGCCCTGTAACATTCATCTTTTAATTTGGAAAATAAATACTTAAAGGGAACTTAATTGTCTTTTCACTATTCTAAAACAACTGACCAAATGTGTTCATTATATAGAATACACTTGATCTAAATCACTTGTGTTATTTACCTATTTTTTTAATGTTTACTTTTTTTTTTTCAGAGAGAGAGAGAGACAGAATATGAGTGGGGGAGGCGCAGAGAGAGAGAAGGAGACAGAATCTGCAGCAGGGTCCAGGCTCTGAGCTGCCAGCACAGAGCCTGATGCAGGGTTTGGACTCACCAACCGTGAGATCGTGACCTGGGCTGGAGTCAGATGCTTAACCTGCTGAGCCACCCAGGCGACCCTAAATCAGTTGCGTTATTGAATTGGGTTAATACAAATGGTTCATCTAGTAACTACAAACAGATAATCTTAAAATGGTTTAAAACAATGAAATAAATAAGATCACTATTTATACTGAGAACAAAAAATGGAAGACTAACTTTCCTGTATAGTATGGGGAATTACATTGGACAATTATTCAAGATTTCCCCTTATTAGTAGGAAAAACAAATATTTGTAAGGAAAAGGAAGAATGTCTTTGTTAAAATACTTGATCAAAATCAGATAATACTATTATTGGTATTATCAATTCTTCCCACTATTCTTTAGAGATAAAAAATACCTATTACAATATTTGACATGGTATATTGATATGTCCACAGGTCTAGAAAATGCTTAGTTTCAATAGACAGTGGTCTATATAGCGCCGGGCCAGGGAGGGGAGAAGCAGTAAACAAGCTTAGTATCAAGTGTTCCTGGCTCTTAGGAAATAGGGTGAATTCGCCTCTCATCTAATGCCAATTAATGTGCTTCTTTCCATTTTATCAGAGAATACAGAAAGTGACAGAGTTAGAGGAATTAATTTTCTTTAAGATAAAATCCAAAGAATATCCACCTAATCATACCAATATTTCAATGTTTCCTAAATAATTTAATTTCTTTTCAGTGCCTCTTCTAAACCATAGAGTAAGAAAAATAGAAGAGGATAAGCAATATTGAATATAATAGTATTGGAGATAAATCATAAAATATATTGGCCCTGGCATATGTCCATAGTAGTGATTGGAATCTATATTAATATAATCTTTCTATGGGGAAATTTGACAATGTGGTAAAGTAGTTTTTACAAAGTTCACATCTTTGAAACAGTTATTACACTTAAAAAATAATTTCTAAGGATATATGATAAACAGTATGTACTGTGACAATACTTTTTTTTTTTTTTTAATATGGAACGCTTCACGAATTTGTGTGTCATCCTTGCGCAGGGGCCATGCTAATCTTCTCTGTATCGTTCCAATTTTAGTATATGTGCTGCCGAAGCGAGCACTGACAATACTTTTTAATAGCCAAACAAAAAATGAAGTGACCTGAATACCTACCAATAATAAAATGACTCTTTAAATTATGGTATTTCCACCTTATAATGTTATACATGCCTTAAACTTACTTTTTTTTAAAAAAAAGTTTTTTTTCAACGTTTTTATTTATTTTTGGGACAGAGAGAGACAGAGCATGAACGGGGGAGGGGCAGAGAGAGAGGGAGACACAGAATCGGAAACAGGCTCCAGGCTCTGAGCCATCAGCCCAGAGCCCGACGCGGGGCTCGAACTCACGGACCGCGAGATCGTGACCTGGCTGAAGTCGGACACTTAACCGACTGCGCCACCCAGGCGCCCCCTATTTTTATAAATTTATATAAAATTTTATAAATTTTTTAAATTATACAAATTTTATAAATTTTTATAAACTTTTATAAATTGAGATATCAAATACAAACTTTTATAAATGGTGGGCTATAATCACATATTTATTAAAATATAGTTAGAAATAGCTACATGTGTATGTAGGACTTCAGTTTTTTGTTTCTTCTTATATATGTTCCTAAATTTGGGTGATACACATGTATTCATTTCTGGATAGGAAAAGATTATGAAATGAAATAATGAGAAAATAATGTCACCTGTGATAACATAAATATCACTGCAGGTGAGGAACTCTGAAAAACTGCTTTGAGACTTGTGCATAAACTGTAGGCATGCCAGGTCAGGTTGAAGGCAACCACAGAATGTCTGGAAGTGAACAGGTACAAAAAAAGGCAGGCAGGAAATCTAAAGCCAAATATCAAAACCACAGCAACAACAATAACAACACACATGCATGCTCAAAAACTTCTATTAAAAATGAATACTAAAAAACCCTTCAATTTAGAGAGACAAAACAAAATGTCTTCAAAGGAAATATTAAAATTTTCTCAACAGAACAGAAGGTGAGAGTAAAAAGAAGCAGGAAAGAAGATTGGTATATAAAGAATACAGCACTTGAAGATAGTCATAACAAATACATCCAAAAATGTGATAGAAAATATTTAACAACTATTTTCTTCTAAAAAAGTTCTAATTTTTATAATCTGCCTATTTCTGTGGAGCTAATAATCCTACCATGACCCATTTTAAGCTGCTACTGTCAGATGCCATTAAAAGAACACTCAGGAAGAGATGTGCACAGTCATTTCTTGTGCACTGGTATAAGCAAGTTCCTGAAACCATTAAATATACAACAGTAAATTACAGCGTAATAAAAATAATTGTAAATGGATAAAATTCACCTATTCAAAGGCAGAAAATATACCTACGTATTTTCTTCCAATAATTTTTCATAATGCACAAATAATTTGAAAATTAAGAGATAACATACACTCTAAAATACTGATCAGAAAAAAAAACACAGCCAAAAGACATGCCACACCCATACAGAGTTTGGAAAAGACATAGGTATATATAAATCTCCCAAAAAATATCCAAGATTTTACTACAAAATATACCAAAGTAAAATGCATTAGTAGAA